TTTTTGGCTGGTTCTTTTGGTGGTTTCCTTTACAAGTCCTTTAGGTTTCCTTTCCTTTCCTTTCATTGTCCTTTCAATTTCCTTTCCTTTCCTTTCATGTTCCTTTCATGTCTTTTCCATTCCTTTCCTTTCATGTTCCTTTCATGTCTTTCCTTTCCTTTCCTTTCATGTTCCTTTCATGTCTTTCCTTTCCTTTCATTGTCCTTTAAATTTCCTTTCATTGTCCTTTCAATTTCCTTTCCTTTCCTTTCATTGTCCTTTCATTGTCCTTTCAATGTCCTTTCCTTTCCTTTCATTTCTTTTCCTTTCCTTCAATCTCCTTTCCATTCCTTTCATTTCCAATTCAAATCAAGATTTTCTAGGATTTTTCTGGAAATCACATTATTTGGGGCCCACACTTCATCAAGGGGGGGGGTTATTAATAAGAGGCCCACATTATATTCCATTTGGCTAAGACGAGTGACACTTCAACAACAGATCTTTCCGAAAGGGACGGCGTCCTTCCGCGCCAAGGCTCAGAACGCCGAGTCCCTAATGCAGATGCAGTGCGGTCCCCAGGCTGGTGAAGAGGCGCCGTGTGGGCACGGCATATATGTTCTCCAAAAGCTTCTCCAGAGGTGGCTGGATGTGGGTTAGCCTGCGCCCAAAGCCTTAGAACTTAGAACTGCACCTGTAATCAGCCTACATCCAAGTGCCCATAAGATCGTGAAGGCCAAGAATGTCAGGCCTCAACGGCCACCCTGACGGATCAGAGCCCTTGGGCTGCACCGCTCACTTGCACCACGCACCAGGTACACGTGTATCTACTTCAAAGCCACGAGAAATAGCGCCCCCGTCCCGGGCTTCGCATAGCTTCACAGAGAGGGCCCGCAGCCCAGGGATGGTGGTGGGCTGGATCTTGCACTTGATCAGGCTAAGTGCGAGATACCCCTGGCGTATCGCTTTTTGCCTGCAGGAGAAAGTCGGGCTCTTGCAGTTTTTTCTTAGGGATTTGACTTACGGGCAAACAGGATTTTGCAAACTTTCTGTTTTGAAGCGCTGGAGGGTGCAGACAGCATTTCATACATGTCAATCCTGATTCCCTGGAATTCTTCATGTTTTCGAGGAGCCCAGCCTCAGCTGCGCTCAGGGGTAAATATATGAGCAATCTGAGAAGCATTTAGCCTTCATGCCTTCGTGATTTGCCCAAGCCAGCGCACAGAGTCAAGCACGCCAGCGTGCATATGTTGTACTTTGAATATACTTGCAGAGTTTTTGCAGAAAAAACATGTGTAGTGTGGGTTGGGGGCCTTCTAGTTCTGTTGTATTTCAATGTATTTCAGTTGTTAAATAGTACTAGACTATATCTAGTTATCAATGTTCTGAATAACTTTTGATTGCCGGAGTTGTAGCATGCTGTGGCTATATGTATTTATATAAGTTTCTACTTTGGAGGATTCCAAGCCATAGACGGATGATCCTAGAAAAATTGATAAGAAGACACAAGCAAGGTAGATTTCGGCCATGCCGCAATTCGTCCGGTCCGATGACGGTGCAAAGATGCCAAGCATGGCGGGAAGGGCAGGACGGGATTTGCGATGTTGTAGCACGACCTTGAAAATCTTGGTGGTTCTACTGGTGCCTGTGGTCTTTGTCCGCTTCCTTTTCCTGGACGTTTGGGGCAGTCTCAACGATGCCGCCGTGCCCATCTTGGGACTGTTCCTTCTTCGTGGTGAGGATGAATGTTTCTTTGCATGCTACGAGCGCTTGAGTAAAATCTGGCTCTTCAATGAATGCTGCGGCATTCAGAAGGATGTGTCTTTTGTGAGTGCTTTGACAGTTTTCATCCTTATATCAGTGGTGAGTGGACTGAATGATCTCTACTTGCTCTATTTGGGTGATGAGAGTGTGATGAAGTGGCCAGCCTTGGTCGCTGGCAATGGTCTGGCGGACTTTCTGTGTGCAGCTTTGGCCGTGCATATGTGGCGCGTCTTACATGGCATGGCCCAATTTCAGAATCAAGCTCCAGCCACAGTGGTGTCATTTGCAGGTGCCGCCAGCCCTGGCGTGCAGAGCAAAAAAACCTCTAGAGCTCCAAGCAAAGAGTTGCAGATTGACCATGAGGGTCCCTTAGTGTCCCCGGCGAAGCGATCAGAACAGCCCAGAGGTTCATCTGCAGCTCTCATCCGCCACCTCACAGTACCAGTGGATGATGAACGAGCACATTCGCGTGAGAACTCCGCGGAGCGGGGAGCCAGTTCCTTGCGCGTCCCCCGTGAGCGGCGCCGGCATCGCTCCTGGATGCTGGGCAACCTGTTCACCCGGAGTCCGCAACATGAGCATCGGGCCAGCTCGCAGCCACCGGCGGCCGGGAGGACAGATCGAAAATGACATCCATCGCCCAGATTCGAGCTCAGTGCGCTAACCCATCAAACACCCAGCGGTGGGCTTTGCAAAAAGGATCCTGCGCTCCTTTCTTTGTGCGCCTTTTTTCGGAAGCATGACCGTTGCTGGGACGACGAAAGTGACATCATTCCCTTCTTGTGCCACATGCGGTCGAGTCTATGACGATGGAATACCAAAGTTGTGGCCGCCTTCCGACCATGTTGGATGAACCCATGGGGAAGTTCTATGTTTGAGCCAGGTTACGGTATAGCCATCCTGAAGTAGATAGAACATAGGGACATATGGAAAATGTCACATCAAACATCAAGAGGAAACAGTTTATGTTCTCGGATCTTGGATTATTGTAATTCCTGCTCCCACGATCCCTGCCGAAACGCATCATGGCGAGCAACGGTGAGCATGGCATCCCAGGCCCACCGCCGAAAGTGACGGAGGAGAAAAGCTCATGTTGATGAAAAGGGGGAACTCACGGAATGGAGGAGGGATGGAAGGCATTTTTGTTCTGTGGAAGAGATTTCGCACCGCGTGCAGTTCAAGATATTTAAGTCACCCGCTGGGTTTATGAAAGCAACTATATAGGCATGGCTTGCTTTTGGGTGGTCAGCTTTACTTCCTCCTTGGGCAGTCCTGACTGCATTTCATATCCGCATGAAACTGCATTCCGTACTCAAGTCGCCTACAGGAAGTCACTTGGATTTCCTGGTCACTAGTCTAACCCTTGAGTCAGTGAAACAAAGCATCCGGCCACAAGGCAGATTCCTCCAAGGGTTTACGGTTTGCTTTATATAAATTGTTTGCTTAACCGGCATAACAGCTTGTCCACTGACTTTTTGCAAGAAATGCGGGCACCATTGTAATTAATGGCTTCCACATCACCACTTCTTCCGCTGCAGCTATTTTTTCTCCCAGCAGTGTAGGAGAACCATCCCACCAGTGTATCTAAAATCACATGTGCACCTGGCCGGCTCAGATAGAAGGGATTCAGATCATCACGTCGTTTGCAGAGATTCTTTAA